TATCTACCATCCACCATCTCAATCTATATTCATCTACCATATATCTGGAATTTGCTTGCCTGCCTGTCTGCTTGTAGCAGAGCCTACTTGTTCGCGTAGCGGAGTATGCCTAGCTACCTATTTGCATGTCCGCCTAAAGAAGCTTATATCCGTATCTGCTTGTTGGCAATCTCATTTTGTGTACCGGGCTGTTGGGAAATAAATTGGTTACAAATTTGTCATTCACGAGATTCTAACTCAAGACTTCTTACAGCTGAAGAGAAATATCACTAACCGTAATACTAAAACACTTGTAGTATTCAATGCTATGTAGCTTTAAAGCCGTACTTGTGTCTCTTGTTTTGCTCACTCTTCTCATGTTTTGTTTGCAATGTCTCTTGAGCTTACAACATATTATGCCCAAAAAAAATAATGAGTATTTAGTATTAGTATTTGGTAAATTGGTATGTGCCAAAGAAAAAAAAAAGTGCTCGTAGATTAATTGGAATTTGATCAACAGTTTAGGGATACAATTGGATATATCGAATGATATATAGGGCAAGTATCTTCTACCACATTGGTGGAGATGAGTGTTGTTCTAGCATCACATCGTAAGTTCAAATCTCGTCAACTCCCTAATTTGACATCTAAAATAACAAACTTATCGTTGGACCAAAAAAATTATATATGGGTTGATAACCTAATATGTTATTGCTACAGTGTAATATAGTCTCTTTTAAGAAGGGAGAGCTGATAGATGGGTGTGTGTGTGTGCGCGCATGCGCCTCCTTCTAGGAAATTTGAATAATATTACAACTTGAGCTAGAGGTTCATTCGTTTGCGCGCCTCCTTCTAGGAATTTGAATAATATTACAAATATTACAACTTGAGCTAGAGGTTCATTCGTTTGCGCGCCTCCTTCTAGGAAATTTGAATAATATTACAACTTGAGCTAGAGGTTCATTCGTTTTGTATACCTTTTAATTATTGATTCCTCACTATTCTTTTAAGACTTTAGTCAAAAAGAGCAGCTAGATTAAGTTTAGTCAAAAAGAGCAGCTAGATTAAGTTTAGTAAAAAAGAGCAGCTAGATTAAATTTGTCTCTATATGGGGAAAACAAACAAACTTATCAAGCAATTTGGCAGCGTCGTTTGAAACTACAAGTTGAACTTAAATTAAATTAAATGAAGAAGGAAGATTAGGAGAATATTTGGAAAAGACTTGGACAAGTTCTTCGTCAACGAAGATGTCCAAACAATGGTTAAACCCTAATTGCTAATAAAATTGAATCTGACACAATTTCTCTTCCACATTGCCAATCATTTGCTTCCAAAGAAAACCCCTGTTTATCTTTCTAGCTTGTAAGTTCATCAATACATTATACATACTGCTACCAGTATTAGTTCATGCTTTCTTTCCCAAAGAAGTAAATTACTCTACCTGTTCATATATTCTTTCAATTTTTCAGGACAATCGGTCGAACGTAAACAGTGTCCAATGATGCATGTCCCGAATAATGAGTCCACCATTGAATTAAGGTTAGTTTCTCTCAAAAAGAAAGGAAGTACGCTCTGAAAAGTAATTCATAATTTAGAGTTATGGCACAAATTCGTGTTTACCCCCCCTTCTGATTTGCATTTTCTTCTCAGCCAAACACCTTTCGATCCCAACAGACTTAACCTGCAACCTGGAGGAGCTTCACCTAGTACAAAATTTAAAAGGCCAAAACTGGATCGACTTCTTGCAAATGATCTACTGTGGAACAAAATATTTGTAATTTTATGTGTGATTGCTGTGTCACTGGACCCTTTGTTCTTTTACATTCCATTCATCAATGAAAAAAACAAGTGCCTTGGAATGGACAAGAAGCTGAAGAATGTAACTCTTGTTTTGCGACTGCTCACAGATCTCATTTTCGTAGTGCATATTATTCATCAAATTCGTCAGGCCATTAAATCTGTCAACTCACGTGGAATGGAAAATCCCAGTTGGGAATCGAAAGCTGTGGCAGTAGCCAGGAAGTTGTCGTGGCGCTCGATCGTTACTGACATTCTTGCTGTTCTTCCCATCCCACAAGTAAGACAATTAGAATTAAGGTTTGATCAATTTTTAGATGTTGCTATTGGAACTCCAGAAAAATCAGTCTGCACTCCTCCAAGCTCTTTTTATCTCTTATATTCACATGTTTAAAGTACAGAATGACTTTTTTGGAGCGTCTATACCCGAATAACAACTTCCTAATGTTTTTTTGTGAGTTATATGATTAGCTTTAAGTTTAACTGGCTTTGTTTGTTTCTTTTGCCCAGGTGCTTTTAGTACATGTTTTCTTCAAAATGACAGGCTATCGATATTTGTACAAAAGAAAGGTTCTAACTTTTTTCCTTCTTGCCCAATATCTTCCGAGGATTTATCGATTTCTCCTATCCTCTAACAACCTTCCACAAACTGGAATATGGACCAAAGGTGTATTCTATTTTGTCCTTTACATCCTTGCAAGTCATGTAAGTTTCTATTCCATTGTCAATTTATTTATCTTTTTAAATTAACTTACTCCTACCTGTCATCCTACTCTCCTTTGCCATTTGACTAACTCGAGCGGTAATTCACTTTAGTCTTTAGTTTGGTAAAACTAACTATTGTTTGACTTAAACATTTATACTAATTAAGAATTTACCCTTAATTTTACGATATATAATTAATTAGCTTCTTGTGTTTTAGGTACTTGGAGCTTTTTGGTACTTTTTTTCTATTCAACGAGAGACATCATGTTGGTATCGGACATTTAGAAAACATAACATGACAGACTTGAGTACTTTTTACTGTGACGACAGTGCTACCCCAAGAAATATTACATCATTTCTAGATAAATTTTGTCCAATAAATGTTCCTGAAAATACTACACGGCCGTTTGATTTCGGAATATTTCTTGATTCTCTTCGATCTGGAAACGCGGCGTCGTTGGATTTCCCGGGCAAGTTGTTCTACTCGTTTTGGTGGGGACTGCGAAATTTAAGGTTGGCAATTCATCGACAACTAATTATTATGTACATTTTATGTTATTTTGTCACATTTCTTGATCATCGTTTGAATTTTATTTTTTTTTGCAGCAACTTTGGCACAAATCTGACAACAAGTACATATGTGTGGGAAAACATCTTTGCAATTCTTATTTCTATCATTGGATTACTCCTATTTTTATATCTCATAGGAAATGTACAGGTTGGTATTAAATCTTTAAGCTTATTTAAAAGTGTTTTTAAAATGATCGAAAATGTTTTTAAAAAAAGTATTTTTGGGTTCCAGAAAGCACTTGAAGTGCTTCTTGGAGAAAACAACACTTAAGTACTTTTTCCACAAAGAACTTCGAATATTTTTCCAATATTCACTTGCTTTTTACTAAGATTGGTTCCAAAAATATTTTCACTAAAAGTCTTTCAATAATTTTAAAGCACTCCCTCTGTTATTTTTCCTTAAAATTTTCATTTAATTTCCTTCTTGATTAGGGTTTATTTTCAATATGTATTATAGAGTGTCATATCAGTTTTCTTTTTGTGTTAAATAGAATTACCAATAACAAGTATTTGTTGTGTGACGTACGTACATACAGACGTTTATGCAATTGGCAACTACAAGGTCGGAGGATATAAGACAGAAGATTAAGATGAAAGAGCGACAAATAGAAGAGTGGATGGTGAAAAATGATCTCCCAGAAGATTTGAAAAAAGAGATCAAGAAAAACGTAAAACAAAAACTGAAAGAAAACAAAGATGCTGATCTGGAGAATCTGTTCTCCATTCTTCCTTGGTACACCAAGAAACCCCTAAAGCGTTTTCTCTTCATGAATACCCTAAGGACAGTATGTGCAACCTCAACACCTCTTATATCTTTATATGATTAATAATCTATATGATGTGATTAATTAAATATGATTAAGCTAATATGCATGCATGCATATAACATGTATAGGTACCAATGCTCAAAGAAATGGATGAAAAAGTGTTGAAAATGATCTGCGACTATCTGAGGCCAGTGACGTACGACGAGAATAGCTTCGTTGTGCGAACAGGAGACCTTCTCGATCGGATGATCTTCATTACGGAAGGGTTTATATGGACTTATGTGGGCGGTGATCAGAATCGACATGGTGGTGGATCATCATCAGGTTCTCAATCCTCATCAATGCCAACCAACATGCTTAAGAAAGGCCAGTTCTACGGCGAAGAGCTTCTCTACCGGCAGTCATCTCCGTCGCAACTTCCAATCTCCCCACAAACCGTTAAATGCCATACAAAAGTCGAAGCTTTTGTTCTTATGGCCAAGGACTGGACAAGTATAGTCTCCAAATGCAGATCGTTGTTGCCGAACAACATGAACCACGGCAACAACAACAACAACAACAACAACAACAATATGAACGTTACTCATTATGGACAGCCCTTACTGAGGGGCTTCAAGAGCTCTACGGCCTCGACACCAGGAGTCCGGTATTTCGAACCTGCTATGCGCCCCAATTAGTCGTCCTGCACGTTCCATGTGCATGTACCTTATGAACAGCAGTTTTTTAACTTTCTCTTTCTCCTGTTTTGGTCTATGTGGCATGTCTTTGAATTCTCTCGTGGCATTGTTTAATGGAACAGAAAGGTCTAATATGGCCCATTGGGCCTGGTTTAAACATGCAGATTACAAGAAAGTGGGTTTCGTAGTAACCCATTGGGCCTATGAGGAAATACTTTTTGTTTTGATGGAAGACACCGAACGCTTAATCTATCATAATCCTAACTAATTTTCCCACTCACCGTTACAACTTGGGCTAACCCTAAACATAAATCCAAAAGTCGTTATGTTATTAGCGCACTAAAATAGTCTCATAAGTCGTGTTATTGTCATTAGCACTTCAAAACAATTAGGATAAATCATGATGTTATTGTTATTAGAACGCAAAATAATATCCAAACCTAGCACCGAACAGGTACCTGAGAAAATCAGAATTTCAATTATAAAGTATAAAAATACATAATTATTTGATAGCCATAGTAAAATTTCCAATAACATTAAATGTCAAATGTCCATATCATCCACAATTATTGAAATCCCACCAATGCCTCTGAAAGAAGAGCTCACGAACCCACCCCACCCACACTCGACAAGTTACCTATTTTCTAGCTTTCCATTTGCTACTCAAGCAACCGTTGTCTCTACTAATAACTACTTATCCCCGATTTGTCTTGCCGGAGTTGAAGATTCACGTAGCGCACTCACCTCCCTTCTCAAGAAAGCAGGCAACGCAAAGGCAGCTGAGTGCATCTGCCAAACAAACAACGCCGTTATTTTTCCTTAAAAGTATATCTAAAGCAAACGAAAAGGATGCAAATACAGCAGATTGCTATGTCAGCTGAATCAGAAAATGACTCCTACCTCGGAGTTATAGAACTGGAGTTCTCTCTTATGTTTGAGAGCTCCTTCTAACTTCTCAATAGAATTGACGGGGTTTTTGAAATCAACGGGAGGCCCCGATGTTGAGCACAACAGAAAACCTATCACACCACTGCATGACAAGTAATCTCACAAGTAAGAATGATTTCATTACATCTACCTGGTCTTAAGAAGGATCGGATAAGCGAGGTGTTTAGTCTATATACAACTTCACACGGAAGCTCAAGACATCTTTTCTATGCTAAAAACTTATAAATATATGTAAAGGTTGAGAGTGAGAGAGTAGATTAATGCGAGGAATGTTGGATTTATCCAATATAAATCAACCTTTAAGTGGTCTACTATATGTAATAGGAATGTAATATTGGAGAATAATGTTAATTGTGATTTGATCTCTTAAAGATATCAATCCTATATAAGGTGTCTTATATTGGAAATAGGATTGATGGAATCCTTAATTGAATATGATTATGATACTTGACTTGGAGGCTAATAAAGTAAGTTTAGGTTTCCTTTATGGATGGAAACCCTAGCTTTTAGCCTATATAAAACACCGGTCCCTATAAGCCCTAGAACACAACATAATGCTTCCCATAGAGTAGTTGTATTCGGCTAAGAACTTATAGAAGATTTTGGTGTTGCCGTGCCCTTCGTGTTCGACTTCCATGACCGTCGATGGAATCAGGTTAGTCACTCGTTCGTTTGTGTTTTAATTGTATAACCTAATAAGAGCAGTTCCCACTGGGAGGTGGTTAGGCCGGCACTCAGCCAAAAAACAAGGCTGGCACTCAGCCAATCCTCTCCAACCCGTGTTCTTGCCTGGCACCCAGCCCAAGTTGGTCTCCAGGCCAGCCCAAAATCGACAGAGGAATGGACTGGCCCGTATGACGCCAATATGACATTAGCCATTTTTTTTCCTTCCTTTTTTCCGCGCTAGGTCTGGTCAAGGGGGAAGACCCTCATCTCTTTCTTCTCCACCAAACGACTCCCCACGGGGCAAGACGACGCCAACCTCATCGTCGTCGACGACAAGCTCTGCAAAGCTGGCACCAAGAGTGAGTAAATACTACTAAACGACTGCTTGTTTATGCGTTTTGGGAAAATGGGTCAGGTCTGATTCGATTGTTTGTTCGTCCAGATTGAAAAAGATTGAATCTTTTTGGTTTTGCAGGAGTTGGGTGTGAGCTTGTTGATGACAGCAGAGGAAGATGAGAAGAGTTGGAAAATGGGAAGAGTTGGAAGATGGGAGGGAAGTGCAGGGGTGCAGAGGTGTGCAGCGGTGAAGTTGAGAAAGGAAGTGCAGGGGTGCAACGATGAAATTGAAAAACATTTTAATATTTTTTTTCTAAAGTCAGAAATTAAAAATAAAATCATTATTTTTATTATTTTATAATAAAAATTATAATATTTTAATAAAATGGACTAGGGTATTTTTTGTTGGGAGGGAAGTGTAGGGGTGCAGGGGTGTGCAGCGGTGAAGTTGAGAAAGGAAGTGCGGGGTGCAGTGATGAAATTGAAAAACATTTTAATATTTTTTTTATAAAGTCAGAAATTAAAAATAAAATCATTATTTTTTATTATTTTATAATAAAAATTATAATATTTTAATAAAATGGACTAGACTATTTTTTGTTAGGAGTGGAGATGTTTTGGCCTATTACTGTACACTGGAGTCTATTACTGTTCACTTGAGTGGATAAATGCGCTGGGTGCTGGCACAAAGTCTTTAGGGGTGGACTTGCTCTAAGGCTAACAGTTGGTATCAGAGCCACTGGTTATATGATTAAAACCTATTAGGTTTGAAGTTTGATTATATAATATCTTTTCTTTTGGACTGCGGTTTTTTTTTAAATCCAAATTGTGATTTCGGCAACATCACCGTGTTGGATTAATTAGTGGAATTTGAGGATTATTAATAGGTTGTATAACCATTCTGTTTTAATCAAGAATATCTTTTAATAATCTTATGGCATAAATTTGGGGAAATTTTATAAAGAATAGCAGCAAGTCGTGGATCAAATAGGAATTTGGAGAAGCATATCAATATATGTATATGGTGCTAATATGTAAATATTTTGCAATGGGATCCAAACATGGATTGAAGTATGAAATTTAAATAATGGTGATGATTGCTTCGAAATCCAACAGTTTTCCAGATTATACCTATCATAGTTACATATAATATATGGTCAGGTTGATGACATTTTTATGCAGGCCTTTTTGCATATAATTTGTTTTAGTTGAACCACCAAAGTCAGGAGGTTGTTAGTATGATTAGTAAAATTTGATTGCCACCAACAGTTCTGATAAAGGACGATAAAGAAAATTTGATTACTCAGTTCATTGAATTAGCCAATACTGAAGATCATGGCATATTTCAAATTTTCTACTTCAATTTTCATGCTAATATTTTGGCTGGAATGTTTTACCATGTAATGTCGATGTGTTCTCAAGTTGTGTAAGAATATGTACATATTTACATTTATTCTAACCTTGCATTGGAGAAAATTTTGAGATCTCTATACAACAACAAGTTCGATGGGAAGGTTCAGATATACCAGCATATGAAGGAATTGATGTATGGAATGAAAACATATAGTGGAAAAGACGTGAAGGCATTAATATATGGTTGTGAAGGTTCATATATATACATTGGCATATGAAATCTTGGTATAACCTTTCCTTTTGGTATGCTTGTTTAATTAAGTGTTTTACAATTTCTTTAACTAGCAGCAGATCTTTAAGTAATTTTGCTCCAAATGTTAAAGTTTTAGATGGGGGCTCCTTGATGAATTGCCCAAATCTGTGGAAATTAGTGTGTTTGAGAAAAGCTGAATTTTTAAGGCATAAGCATGCATATAAATGTGCGTATATATCTTGTTTGTTCATGGCTATTTTGTTAATATTACATGAGTGAGATTATTGGCTGGCCTTCAACAACAAGCTGCAGTTTCCAAGTTGGGCAGAAGCAGAGGGGACACTAAGCAACCCCTCAGATGCCTCACGGACTGGTTTTGGAAAACACCCCAAATCCTTATTGCCTCTGATCTCCATGGGTATATATATACTGAATTGAATTGCCATGTAATTGTTTGTTGTGGGAAGTAATCAATATGGATTAAAATTTTAAGTTTTGCAACATATAGCAAAATTGACATATGGCATGTTTTATTAAAGGAATTGGGTCGTCCTATATTGCTTTAAGCTTGAGATGTTCTTATATAAAGACACAAATGTGTTGATTAGTAATGCAGTATACTAGCACTTAAGTATGATTGGGGATTAATTCAAGTACAGTTTATAATGATATTAACTCCATAAGGAATTTGCATGACTAATCAAATTAGTTTTGTCTACAATTTTGCTTTCATATCTCAGTATAGTCAATTGTACATGACTAGTTAATTATGAAATTGATGCATAACTTGTGAATTGACTGAGAATGACAGAAAGCATTCAGTGGCAAGAACAAGGACATTATACAAATAGAATGAGGTTTGTAGTAATTATGTGACAATTCTCGTTTGTATTTTATCTATTTATATGAGAATTGTGGTTGGTCATGTGATTATAAATATGTTTATAAAGAAGTGGTGAACATATGAAGGCATGAGGTATGTATTTCATTCAAAGTATGTGACTAAATTGATAAGCATGGATTTTCAAACATGTATTATTGTTTGTGGTTTTTCCTATGCCTAAAGAATTTAAACAGTGTTTTAATTAGTAAATTTTTATGTGCCATAAGGGGAGAAGAAAAGAAACTTTTCAAGGCTAATGTAGGGCATATATTGGAGATGTTTTCTATGGAAGAAAATAATTTTGGTTGTTCCTTTTATTTAATTTGGTATTTGCAAAGCTAATGCATGATTTTAATGCTATGTTTAGTAGTTTTGTACTACGGAAAGAAATATATAAAAGGAAAGGAACCCGTTTGATATATATTTGAGCGATTTAGCTTTTAAATTAAAGGAATGTATTGTTCTCTCACATTACATAAAGTATTTCTATCAAGTAATTGACTCCATGACGATAAGTTTTGACATTCTTGTGGTGGAATAAAACTTATTCTATATGTGATTAATCTCTTTCAAGTATGCTGTCAGGTTTCTTGAGATTAATTTAATGTCAAAGGGAGTCATGAAGGAATTAGTGCCATTTGTTGGCAAGACTCGACGCTTGAATCAGGTTATCATAGTTTTGTCACTTACAGTTAATTAATCCATGTGACTTTTGCATTGTTTCAGGGCGGAGTTGATAAATGTCTTTTCAACTAAAGGAAGCCACAACGGCTTAGTTGATGATGAGATTGTGTTTTTGAGTTACTTCGGTCAACTTTGCATCTTAATTAGAATAAAAGGGATAATCTTCTTGCCTACAGGTGTGGATTATTTCTTTTAGCTTAATTAAGATGGCATAGTGTGGGTTTTATTTTACAAAAGTTGTGAAAACCTTCATCTTGCCTATAGGTGTTGAAGTTTTTTCATGAAGGTACTTTTGTGACATAAAATCTAGTACTAGAAACTAGTTAATTTTCTTGCCTAAAGGTGTAAATTAATTTAGTTTCATGAAGTCTATTGGGGATAAAGTTCCATGCCATCAGTTAAAATATTTCCACTATGAGCCCATAATAGGTTGTGGTTTTAAGGCATGGAAATCGGTTGCATCATGACGTATTTTGTGTCTCTTCATGAGACTTGTTGATGCAAAGTATTGGATCCATGAAAGTTAATCAAGGATTGCTAAGGTACGCATTGTTTAAGTCTTATGCTTGAAATCTTTTCAATTTGAACTATGATGTCGGTTTAGAGGATGAAATTTGACTACTAAAGTTTCTTTTGGACATCGAAATTGAAATGATATGAAATTGAATTTGTTATGGATGCATAAATGCATGATAGATGCACATAATTGTTTCTGGCAGATTGCGTGTCTTGATTTAAATCGGGTGAATGACACGTCTAATGGTCACCAAATGACCTGAATTTTTGATATGTTCAACATATATATGTCTACTATGTGTCTACAAATTTTCGTAATTTTCTGCCATGTATTTTAATTATGATGAATTTATTAGTAACCCATACTCGTATAGCACTTTTACTGGCAGATTGTGTTGGTCTTTTTGAGACGTGACTTTAGACTACTTTTTTTGACCCAAAACAGCTCTGTATTTTTATTTTATGAAGATTAGTATGTCTATTTTGATCAGTATAAATTTGGTAGCAATCAAGCTTGTAAATTAATTATGATAAACTCTAAAGTAAGTGTAACTCGTTGCTGAAATTATGTTTGACAACTTTATGTTGGTTGTAATGCCTATTTTATTTTGTCTAAAATATAAAGAAATTTTATTTAGATACATCTTTGAAAGAGTGTTTGCCCAAGTGGGAGAATTAGTGAACGAAAATTGGGCTTCACACTCATTAACTTATTTGCAAGCATAAACTCTGATAACTTAGTGGGAGTTGTTCTAAAATTGTGAGCATTAAGTGGCCTTGCATGAATCTATTAAAGCGTTATTCTATCTTCCATGAATTTGTGTTACTTGAATGTCTATAATATGTTTAAGTTGCACGAATGAATACTTGGTATATGCGTACATTTTGTATTACTTGCAATCATTTAGATTTCTTGATTGATCATATTGTTTTGGGGCTCATAAGGACTTAGCATAAATGTGGACTTATTAATACATATACAATGGTTGTTGGATGCACGGTTTTTGTGTAAACAACAGTGAATGCTTTCAAGCTTAGTTGTACCTTTCATTGAGGTAATACGCATTCATTGACTAAGTAAGGCTACTCCCAAAGGCATATTTTCAAAAGTATGATTAAAGTATTGATTTGCAAATTAAGTGATGATGTTGCAGATCAGTGGGAGTTTGAGTTTCGTGTTAGTAATGCCTTACAGTTGCAGATGACCTATAAGGTATGTATAGAATCCATGTATTCATTTTAATCTCCAGTTGGATTCATTAAGTCACATTTTTCGTGTGCTAGTCAATAATCTGATAAAATATATATCAGATATCAAGTTGTTATCAAATTGCATATTAAATGGCATGACATGGTTTATGTACTACCTCAGTTGTGAGGATTTCCATCTTGCCCGCAGGTGTTGGAAATCACTATGAAAGTAACTGGTATGGTGCATAGATCAGTGTCAAAAACATATTAATTCATCTTGCTCACAAGTGTTGAATTAATTTGTTTTATGAAGTTTTTGGGATATTTTACTTGGACATGTGCCTATTTGGTATTTTCAGTTGTGTCCGTTGGTTACAAACACTGTTTGTATTGTTATCGGTCTAATGAAACTGATGCATGATTGTTTTGGATATATATTCACACCTGCAGGTTATGGTGGTTTCATTAGATGAAGGATATCTGCATTGGCAGATTTAAGGCTTCGAAGAAGCATAAAATGTAACTTGTGAGTTACAATAAGGTGGACCTGAGATGATATAAAGTAAGACATTTTGGTTAATTTAAGTTTAATTTTAAAGTTTCATCTCTTGATCATAATTTGTGTTTCATGTGAATGAGGATCTTAGCATGTGTGATTATGAAGGTTCTGGGTTGTGTTAACTCTACAACCTTGTTAGTTCCATGTTAAGAAATGCATTTGACAGAAGCTGCATTAAGGACGAGATGTAATCACTATTACATGGCCACTAAAGTGACATTAGTCTCCAATCTCAAGTATAAACGTGAATATTACATTTTGTAGACCAAGTGGGAGAATGTTGGATTTATCCAATATAAATCAACCTTTAAGTGGTCTACTATATGTAATAGGAATGTAATATTGGAGAATAATGTTAATTGTGATTTGATCTCTTAAAGATATCAATCCTATATAAGGTGTCTTATATTGGAAATAGGATTGATGGAATCCTTAATTGAATATGATTATGATACTTGACTTGGAGGCTAATAAAGTAAGTTTAGGTTTCCTTTATGGATGGAAACCCTAGCTTTTAGCCTATATAAAACACCGGTCCCTATAAGCCCTAGAACACACAACATAATGCTTCCCATACAGTAGTTGTATTCGGCTAGGAACTTATAGAAGATTTTGGTGTTGCCGTGCCCTTCGTGTTCGACTTCCATGGCCGCCGATGGAATCAGGTTAGTCACTCATTCGTTTGTGTTTTAATTGTATAACCTAATAAGGATAACAAGGAAAGGAACTACAGTGTTACCTTGGATACGTAGGAACACTCGCCCAAGCATATTCGGCAGACCCCTGGAATGTTTGATGGCAATCAGAGATCAGATCTTGAATAAGATGTGTATGGAGCCACATGCTCTCTGCCATGTTACAGAGAACACCACCAGGCCTTAATGCTCTAGCTATTGTCTCAAAAAATGGCTTCTCTACAAGCTCTTGGGCGGGACCTGCATCCAAAGGAAACCGTACGTTTAAGCACCAGATTTAGAAATCTTATTATAACAAGTCTTTATATTGCACATCGAGATCAACCAAGGGAGATAAGGAGGAGGGGGGCACATAAATGGCTTCTCTTCAAATGTTTTTTTAGGATTCACTGGTTTTGTACTAAGATTGGTTCCAAAATCATTTTCACAAAAAACTTTTCAGTTATTTAAAAAACACACCTAAACGAGTCTCTGTTATTTTTCCTTAAAATTTTCAATTATTTTCTTGATTAGGGTTTATTTTCAATATGTAGTGTGTCAACAAGTGTATCAGTTTTATTTTCGTGTCTAATAGACTTACCAATAACAAGTATTTGTTGTGTGACGTACGTACATACAGACGTTTATGCAATTGGCAACTATAAAGTCGGAGGATAAGATGGAAGATGAAAGATCGACAAATAGAAGAGTGGATGGTGAAAAATGATATCCCAGGACATTTGAAACAAAAGATCAAGAAAAACATAAAACAAAAACTGAAAGAAAACAAAGATGCTGATCTGGAGAATCTGTTCTCCATTCTTCCTTGGTACACCATGAAACCCCTAAAGCGTTTTCTCTGCATGAATACCCTAAGGACAGTATGTGCAACCTCAACCCCTCTTATCTCTTTATATGATGAATAATCTATATGATGTGATTAATTAGATATGATTAAGCTAATATGCATGCATGCATATAACATGTATAGGTACCAATGCTCAAAGAAACGGATGGAAAAGTGTTGAAAATGATCTGCGATTATCTGAGACCAGTGATGTACAACGAGAATAGCATCGTTGTTTGAAGAGGACATCCTCTCGATCGGATTATTTTCATTACGGAAGGGTTTATAGATACTTATGTGGGCGGTGAACAGAGTCGACACGGTGCTGGATCATCGTCGGGTTCCCAATCCTCGTCAATGCCAACCAAAACGCTTAAAAAAAGGCGAGTTCTACGGCGAAGAGCTTCTATACTGGCCGTCATCTCAGTCGAAACTTCCTATCTCCGCCCAAACCGTTCAATGACATACAAAAGTTGAAGCTTTTGTTCTTATGGCCAATGATTTGACAAGTTTAGTCTCCAAATGCGGATCGTTGTGGCCAAACATGAATCACAGCAACAACAAAAACAACAATAATATTAACGTTACTCATCCTGGACAGCCCTTTACCGAGTGGCGTCGAGAGCTCTAAAGGCTCGACGCCAAGAATCCAGTATCTCAAACCTGCTGTACGCCCCCATAAGTCCTCCTGTACGTCCCTTGTCCATGTACCTTATGAACAACAGTTCACGATTGTAGTTGTAGTTTTGTAGCGTTCTCTCTCTCCTGTTTGGTCAACGTGGCATGTCTTTGAATTCTCTCGTGGCATTGTTTAGTGGGAGGAACAGAAAAGTCTAATATGGCCCATTGGGCCTGGTTTAAACATGCAGATTACAAGAAAGTGGGTTTCGTAGTAACCCATTGGGCCTATGAGGAAATAGTTTTTGTTTTAATGGAAGGCACTTAACGCTTAATCTATCATAATCCTAACTAATTTTCCCACTCACCGTTACAACTTGGGCTAACCCTAAACATAAATCCAAAAGTCGTTATGTTATTAGAGCACTAAAACAGTCTCATAAGTCGTGTTATTGTCATTAGCACGTCAAAACAATTAGGATAAATCAGGATGTTATTGTTATTAGAATGCAAAATAATATCCAAACCTAAACCCTAAGCCCCGAACAAGTACCTGAGAAAATCGGAATTTCGAGTATAAAGTATAAAACCATAATTTAAAGTCGGATACATAATTATTTGATCGCCATAGTAAAATTTCCAATAACATTAATGTCAAATGTCCATATCATCCACAATTATTGAAATCCCACCAATGCCTCTGAAGGAAGAGCTCACGAACCCACCCCATCATCAACACTTGACAAATTACCTATTTTCTAGCTTTCCATTTGCAAAGAGGAGGAAAGACGGCTTGTTAGTACTACAATTTAGTAGTATTCATCTTCATTTGTAAGTGAAATGTTTTAGGCTAAGCTCATTGTGAGGCTTGTCCCTTAGTGTAGAGAATATCTTCTTTTTTTTTTCAAAAAAAAAAAAAAAAGGGAAAGCCCAAGAAGCCACCTTTCGATTATTCTTTTAAGAGTACTTTGTCAAGAGAAACTTGCAAGAAAAATTTGACTCTAATTCGGAAAAAAATAAAAAAAACATATCAATCAATTTGACAGTAGCCTTTGGAACTTTGAGAAAAATTACTAAAAAAAAAAAAACCGACGCACCAGATTAAATAGAGTTGTGAAAAAGTACAAAAATATGTGTTTATCATTTATCTCAAGAATCTTATCCTTTTCTTCCATCCTTTGGTGTGTGGAAATCTAGTCACCTAGCAACGCTTGGGCCATTAAGTCATTTTGTACATTTGGGCCCATTTAACGGGCCCTAGATTTACAGACTGTTTTAGCGAGAAGCCCTACCTTTTCTACAAAGGGACAACGAAGAAGAACACACGCAGAGCAAACGGTGCTCGTCGTCCTCCAGTCCAAGTAGCAGCTCAAAAATCAACAAAAATGGCGGTCGTTCTCGAAAACGCACGGTGCTCGTCCTCGTTCGGTCATGCAGCGGAGTTACTATGTCTGCCGCCGTGTGTGCCGCTCATCGAGGGAACCAGAAAACCAACCCCAACACTAAAATCCCGGACACTGACGCGAGTTGTGACTTTTAATTGTTTATCAGCAGAATATTAATCAAACTAATTTTCCTGCAACTTTCATTTTCACAATAACAATAAATTAGTTGTTTGCGTGTTCTGATTAGTGATTAATCACCATATGCTCACAACTTGGGTTAATTATCATATGTTCACGACTTGGACTTGGACAAGTTATCACTAGTACTTGTCCCTAGAAGAAGGGGAAGAACTCATCCCTATGTTTCTACGTGGTAATTGGAAAAAAAAAAAAGATTCTTTAGGAGAATATGAGTTGACATCGAAAGCTGATTTTTTGTACTACATGTTGTTTAGTACTATCAACTCTTCTTATACGACATGCTTTGAAAAAGCAAAAAAGATTCTTTAGAAATCGAATATGAATTGACACCGAAAGCTAGATTTTGTACGTACATGCCATTTGGTATTATCAACTTTTCTATACGGCATGCCAAACCCTGATTTGTCTCGAACCCTGCAAAATAAGACTCGGGTCACCCTTGACACCAATGTGGTGCCGGCCGAAGGGTTCAACTAATTTAGAAGAATTTTGAAGTTAGCCTAAAAAATCGTTAATAATTACCATCTTTGAAGAAATGCCTCTTATAGAGAAAATGTGGAGAGCCTCTCGTGTTTGTCCGATATGGGAATTAATGCTCGTTTACCGAAAATGAATGAGTTGGCGACACCTGGCAGGGTGCCAAAATAGATGTGAGAGAGAATCTTCGCCATATTTTTTCATTCATCGTACATAATGCTGTCAGTTTTTATCAGGTACTGTTTATATTCAATTTTAAATAAAAAAAATTACAATGATTTCTGATCGTACGATGTACGATAAACGAATGTAATTTGAGGATCTCTAGAGTCTTCACAAAGAGGATCAGGCGAGGATCCGCACTCGTGGAAGTTCCATATTGGTAGATCAAGAGCCAATCGTAAGTTGACAAGTGGACGAGTCGTTTTCGGGTCAAAGCGTAGATCAGGGTTTAACTCGGTTGCTGGGCAAGGTGGTGGGTCAACACACGGCCAATCTTTGTGCGGCACTTGGGTGACGTTGCCATGGTTAAGTCAAACTGGGTCCATGTTCAAGATTTGGGTATATAATAGTTGACGAATGGAAGGGCTTGACTTGATCAAACTTTGCCAACATGTAAGCATGCTGCATGGAAGAGATGGGTTATCTGCAATCACCCAACCTTGCTAAGATGTGAATTATGGAAGGGGTGAGTCTTCTTGACAATCACTCAAACTTGTCATCTCTTGGGTAGGGAGTTGTACGGATTTATATTTTGATACTCAGCCATCCATGACATAAACATATATAATTTTAGAATAATAAGTAATAGATCACGAAGTCTATGTTATGCATACTTAGAAAGTGATATTGCTTGACAAAATGATATAATAGACAGAGGCACAAGGCCTAAAAAATTAAGGGAATGAGGCATGTTGTGTATTAACGTCTTTGAATCATGATGAACTAGTTTGCCTATTAAACCAATTTTATGGGATCTCCAATCAACACGTCTTCCAGACCGATCGCTTACATTCTGCAGATGACTTGTACACTATTCGCCAGAAGCCGGACGAGTCACTACGAGAGTATGCCGGTCGCTTCAGCCATGAGTATTTTCACTGCGCTGAGGCAGATGACAAAACCATCCTCAAGGCCTTCACGGCAGGCCTACGTGATTGTTTCTTTAAGTACATGATCAATGCCAACACTTAGAAGACTTGCTCTGAGGTGATGGCACATGCTTACAACCACGCGTCCGCCGAAGCAAGGACATACCAAGGGAACCCCCTTATGGTTAACCCCTATCAACAAGTGGGAAGTGGAAGTCAAGTTCTACCAAGTGAGGAGATCTCGGCCATTCAGACACCCATTGCATCATCTTCTGCCTCATTTAGCTACTCGCTAAGTCACCAAACATATCTGTCTCTTTGTAAGAGGAAGGATTTTTACTCTCAACAAGCTCATTACAACAAAAGGGATAAAAGTTCGTATCAAGACAACCAAGGGTGAACGTACTGTCGACTATAATGACTATGGGGCCAAGCTTCACTCTTTCAAAGTAGAGGACTAGGTACTGAAGGAAATGCTATTATAAGAAGGTATACACATTACAAATGTTTTGACTCTCAAACGCTTGAGATATTTTGTCACACAAGCCAATCGGCAAATATTTAAAGAAGGGGGAATTCAGACAACTTCTTCTGAGTCTTTTGTGTTCCTAGCACTGGAACACTTGGTCTACGCTAACCTACCCTTATACTCCAACTCAAAGCTTC